AGAATTGCACTTCTGGTAACGCGTGTGCTTTATATCAACAGCAATAAGATGTTCCGTACCTCAGATTGAACATGGCCGTGTGGTTGGTACCGCTCAGGAGTACCAAGAAAATGAAATCTTAGATTTTAGATGTGATCAAACTTATAAACGGGCTGATGAGAGAACTCCAAGATGCACAAAATTTGCAGGAAAAGCAGACTGGAGTCCCACACCTGCATGTAAACGTGAGTATGATCTCAGTTACAACAACAAATTATTTGATTGCAATGAGGAATAAAGTCTGAGGTACACATATGAAGTGTGTCTCCTTCTAACAAACTGACAAACAATGATATATGTCCAATGATTCCAGCAATTAAATGTGACCTGGCTCTGGCATCAATCCCTGGGACGACCTACGACCCTTCATACAAAAACATGTTTTCACCTGGAGAAACAGTGAGAGTCACATGTGGAGAGAAACACTGGATTCTTGACATGCAAACAACAGTGGCTGATGTTACTTGTGGAATCAGTGGAGACTGGGATACGAGTCCGATATGCCAAGGTATTAAAACACAGAAGCCTAAGTGTCATCAATTGATTATTCAGTTAAAAAAGTCTGTGATAATGTTTCATTAGTCCCATGTATGATGAATACTGTTTGAATAGAAAATTTATTTTTCTCCCACTCCAGAGGTTACATGCCCACGATACATAGACGAAGCACATTTGTATCGTTCTGTTAACGCTTGGGGCAGAAATAAAATAGGTGACAGAGTACGGTATGACTGTGCCTACTATTACGATCCTGCAAGTTCAGACAGAATGGCAACGTGCACCAGAGAGGGATGGACACCGAAACCACTTTGTCGTGGTACTGTTCACTTTAAATGCTCTTTTGTTGCTTTACTGTTAAACTATGTTTGCATTTCATTTACCTGGTTACTTTGCACGAAATACTTCATAATCTTGAAAACAAAATCTTTGTAAATTATCCTCTTTACTTTTAAAAAGAAGGCGGTAAAGAGAGGAGTCCCTCTGTGGATTATTTTGTGACAGCTGCAGTGAAGCAGTTATCTGAAGGTGGAGTCAAATCTCAAGAAACAAACAACCTGAACAGAAAGCAATTTGGCAAAACACTTCATTTATTAATTAAAAAATAGATACTTGTACTAAATTGTGAACAATAAAACTTAACACAAACAAAACACTAACATTAATGTTTGTCCATTTAAACTCAATTTCTTCACCAAGTAGAAACAAAAAAAGTCATTTTTATGAATATCTGTTATGATTTGTAATAAAAAAAACAGAAACTGAACATTTTTTAGGACTCACTATTGGACTCACTATACGTTTCTATATACACAAAATAATTTTGCAAAATCTTTTGATGAAATAAATGTTCAAGGGAGCAACACTAAAATCTCAAATAGCAAAAATATAAACATTATATCAAAATAATAACTGCAACAGTTTCAAGTGCTCCTCTAGAAAAATTTATCTTCACATTTTTTTGCATTTAGATTCTTCCTTATTATCTTTTTGTTAGCAAATATCATGCAGCTAAACTCCATGTTTAATGTTATTTTCTTCATCAGGGAGACAGTGTGAAAACCCTAACATTGAAAACTCCAGAATTACCAGAGGTAGTAAAAGAACTTACTACAACGGTGACCGACTCACATATGTATGTTCGGGAGGGAATCAGGAACCTGTTACTATCACCTGTGAGCGAGGAGCCTGGGTAGGGATAAAGCCATGTCCAGGTAAGAACATCTGTGAGTAATTTAATCGTGTTTTACGAACTATTGTGAGAATCTTGTCATGATTTGAAAGGCACTCATAGGAAATATTGACCCTTTGCAACTACGAAGCGCCATGTTGGACATCGGAAGTGACAATCGGGAGTATTGAACAGAGCACTTAAGTTGTTTTCCCAACATGAATAAACTGGAAAGTTGCTTTTGCCAGTTTATTCATGGTTTCTGCTTCTTCAAGTCGAGCTAATTTGTCTGTGAACGTAACACACCTGGTTGGGGCTCATAGACGGCGGTATTTACAGAAGCTTGAAACAGCTAGCTTACAAACCAACCGACCCGTTTCTCCTCTCTCCTGACGTGTTGATCAAATTACCTACTTTGCCTGAATTCACACCACATGATTTATGTCACTATGTCAAACACCCTTAAACCGGAGCAGCCTTAAAAACGTACAAAAGACGAGATGCTAACCAGTTTTTTCCGTACATGCTAGGCTACACGATGGTGGGCATTGTTTCCATGGTTACTAACGGTTGTACCTTCGCCATAATGCAATATTTGAGACCTTTCTAATCATACTTACTTATAAAGTATATGAACGTTAATCTTCTTACCATGTAAAAAGGTGCAAATTCCCGGTTACACCCAGGGGTGACAGTCATTATGATTGACGGCTGCCATCCATCACCCCGCATCTTTCCTCGTTATAAAATGAAATGACAAGTTTGGATTTCACCATTGTCTGTTTGTGCAGCCGACTGCGCAGCACCCTGTGGCAATTTTTACTACAAATCAACCGAATTAAAGCAACATAAGGCCACCTCATGTACGTTTTTTGACTGGCTTTACAGGAACATAGAAGTTGTTTTGACGTCCATGACGGAGCGGGCCGAGGTCAATATCTAAAAGCATATGAATTTGAAGAAAGTTTTAAAAAATTGTATTTTTATTTATTTATTTCAAACATGATAGCAGTGTAAAATAACACACATAAACAAGGAGTGCAAATGAAACATTTTTTTGTACCACAATAATCTTAACATGCTCGGAAAGGAGTAGGAAGAAGTAAGAAACGTTAAAAAATACTTTTTCATTAGTCCAGCAATTATTAAGCATCGTTTTAATTTATGACATCATAACAGTTCATTTAAATATCTTGTTACAGCTGCATAGATTTAACTCAAGTATCCTTACATGATGATTTTGGGATATTTAAGATGTTAACAGACAAATTAGCTTGACTTGAACAAGAAGTAATAAAATCAGGCCTCAAAGGTGGATACATATTAGTTGAATTTATCTTTTGACCCCTGCAACTGGAATATGTTTTCTTTTTTCTGAATCATTAACAGAAGGGACAAGTTGCCAGAAACCTGAAATTACAAATGGATTTGCAGTTGAACCCAGTAAAGGCACAATTTATTACGCATGTAATGAAAATTTCAAACTTCCTACCAAAAGCTGGTGGGGTCTTGCCAAATGTGAAAATGGTGTGTTTGGCCAACTTCATTCATGTATAGGTAATTAATCTCTATTTTCTCTTGGACATAATTTTACTCCTATGAATTTAACCAAATGCAATGCTTCCAATTAGCTAAACATCAGACTCTTCCTCGTTTGTGCAATATTTGGTCATTATAAATTAGTCAGAGTTTTTGTATATGTAATGTTTTATTTTCAATGATTCTGTAAAGTAAATTAGCTGGAAACATGTTTTTTTATTATGCAGTATATTTAGTGTAACAATCTTGATGCATTATTGACATGTGTGCTTTGTCAATGCTGTCTCAAAGCAAAGACATTGTGTGGAGAGGCTTCTCCAATTTCCAATGGAAAAATGACCATTTTAAGGACACGTGCTAGGATTGAATGCAATGAAGGATACGTTGCACAGATTGCTGAACTGACTTGTGATAATGGAAGATGGAATTATCATGGGTTTACAGCAAAAACAATCTGCCGTGGTGAGACATCCAGATCATTTTAAAATACTCATATGATTAAATTTTTACAAAGATTTTAATTAGAATCTTACATATTTTTTATGTCTTGCAGCAACTGCTGAACACTGTGGCTCACCACCCAAAGTTGAGAATGCAATTGTCACCATTTCATACCAGAAGGAATACTTGCATGGCTCCTCTGTGACTTATCTGTGCCGTGACAAATATATGATGGAGGAAGAAGCCTCCATTACATGCAATGCTGGGAAATGGGAAACGAGAAACATCACATGTGTCCGTATGTGCATGTTTCATTCAAAATGTTCTCCAAATATTATTAATGGCATTGTTTTAGGCCTGTGAGTCACACACCATTTTGTCAACTGATTCCCCATTTCTTCTTCATGTGTTAAGATTTCCTCCCTTTCTACGTCTGTTTAATACTTGTAATCAAACCATTTCATTCTTGCAATCTTTAATCACTGCATACATTCCAAGTGTTTGCATTATTTCTGCTGATAAAATCTAAGAAACATGAAACTTGCAGAAAATTTTACTAAGCCGGAGTTTATTAAAATTACACCAAAATATATGACAGATTGTGATCTGATTGGACCAAATGAAGTCTGACTGGATTCCTGCCAGTAGATATTATTAATTATTAAACCTCTATTTTCCTTAAACCAATTGTGAAATATACAAATTACTTTAATTTTGTGGTTTACCAACCATATAAAAAACATTTAAGTTGTAGGCATGAACTGAAGCACATTCCATATAAAACATGCCTCATCTGTTTGGATGGCACCATCCAGATGTGGCAAACTACCAAAAGGTATGTAATGACAAGGAGGCTGAATTAATNCAATCCCTGGGACGACCTACGACCCTTCATACAAAAACATGTTTTCACCTGGAGAAACAGTGAGAGTCACATGTGGAGAGAAACACTGGATTCTTGACATGCAAACAACAGTGGCTGATGTTACTTGTGGAATCAGTGGAGACTGGGATACGAGTCCGATATGCCAAGGTATTAAAACACAGAAGCCTAAGTGTCATCAATTGATTATTCAGTTAAAAAAGTCTGTGATAATGTTTCATTAGTCCCATGTATGATGAATACTGTTTGAATAGAAAATTTATTTTTCTCCCACTCCAGAGGTTACATGCCCACGATACATAGACGAAGCACATTTGTATCGTTCTGTTAACGCTTGGGGCAGAAATAAAATAGGTGACAGAGTACGGTATGACTGTGCCTACTATTACGATCCTGCAAGTTCAGACAGAATGGCAACGTGCACCAGAGAGGGATGGACACCGAAACCACTTTGTCGTGGTACTGTTCACTTTAAATGCTCTTTTGTTGCTTTACTGTTAAACTATGTTTTTATGCCACTTTACATGAAATACTTCATAATCTTGAAAAACATTCTTTGTAAATTATCCAAAGAGGAGTCCCTCTGTGGATTATTTTGTGTCAGCAGGGTTTTCTAGAAGGTGGTGTCAAATCTCTAAAAAGTAAAGAGATTAAGTGTAGACACTTAATTTTTTTTAAGGTAAAACTTGATACTTGGACTATAATGTGACCAATAAGTTTAACACAAACCAAACTCTAACATTAGAGGTTAACATTTAAACTCCATTGTTCCTTTGATGTCGCAGAGGACACAAAAAAGTTGAATGAAAATTTATAATGAACTGGAATAGAAACAATTGATACTGATTATTAGGACTGACTCTTACGCTAATTAATAAACATTTGTTAATATTTCTGTTTACCAAAATCTGTCATAAAAAGTTCACAAAGACAAACACAAAAACCTCAAGCTTCAAAAAAAAGCACTAAGATAAACATTATATCGTTGAATAAGTCCAACAGTTGTAAATGCTGATAAGCTGATAGTAAAATGTTATTTTCTTCATCAGGGACACGGTGTGAAAACCCTAACATTGAAAACTCCAGAATTACCAGCAGTAATAGAAGACCTTACTACAACGGTGACCGACTCACATATGAATGTTTGGGAGGGAATCAGGAATCTGTTACTATCACCTGTGAGCGAGGAGCCTGGGTAGGGATAAAGCCATGTCCAGGTAAGAACATCTGTCTGGAAAACTCCCCTCAAACACAGAGGTCCTAAATAAGTGGAAGCATTTATTAAAGGAACCCTGGTTCATAGGGACAATAATCAGCTTACATGGACCAGAGTTCGTTTTCCCCATTGGTCTGGACTAAGTTGTTTCTTCTCCATTAGCACAGTCAGAAGCGTGTTCATAAGCTTGATTTACAGCACCAAGACCCTCCTCCTGGCTCTGACTGGTTGTTTTTGATTGAGAGCTGTTTATAGCAGTAAAGGAAAGAGATGGAGGAGATCAGTCTTTTCACACCTGTCTCATATTAAATTAAATGAACTGCAAACATAATTTTCCTTCACACTTCAAAACAACACTAAAGAATCGTCCTGCATTGTGATGAAGCACCGTCTTTAACTACTGTCTCATTGCTCACTTTCTTTCAGCTCCTTCAAATTGCTCAGCACCACCAGCTCTTGAAGATGGAGACACCAAAGCAATAATCAGATCAGATTCAGAATATCAACATGATGAAAGAGTTGAATATCTGTGTCAGAATAAGTACACTATGGCTGGTGGCCCATTTAAAACCTGTGACAACGGTGTATGGAAAGGAGACATCAGATGCCTCAGTAAGTTAAATTTTAACATTTTATTTAGCAAACTGATATTTCTGCTGCTCAGAACCACTTCTAGCTAATATAAAAAAATATATAAAATGTGTAATGACACAACTTCAAACCAGATAATTATCTTTTAATGCAGAACGCTTCACATTACTTAAAATTATAATTTTAAGCACATTTACTAGAACAAACTTAGAATGCATAAAATCAAACATGGAGAAAACCTACTAATTTATGAATTAATGACTACTTATTGTTCTTATTAAACATGAGGGACCAATATGTAATTTTATTCATTTATCTTTTTGTTTCTCTCTTAGTTTGTTTGCATTTCCTTCTAGTTCATGTAAAGCACTTCGAACTGCATTGTTGCTAAAAATGTTCTGTATAAATAAAATCACCTTACCTAAACATTTTAAAGCAAATGTATTGTTTGGGCAAGTGCTATTTATTTCCTTCGTTTTATTAACAATTTTGTTTTTCTACTCCGTTTTTCTTCTCAGAGCCCTGCACCGTGACTCAACAATTAATGAACGAGCATAACATTCAGTTTGCACATTTTGAGGACAGTAAGATATTTGTGCCGCATACAGATCACATTGCATTTGTTTGTAAATCGGGGAAAAGACTCGATGGCACAGTCCCGCTGCGTGTCCAGTGCAATGATGGTGAGATTAACCTACCCACCTGCCAGTAAAAACTTTCAGTGAGTTTAATATGTAAATGACTCACTACAAACAATAAAGAAAATTTCAATTTCAATTAATAAATGTTAGGTCTTCTGTCTCTGAATGTTTCAATACGTTTTGGGTTTTTTTAAACCAAACATTGATGATTATACTACTTGTCAAGTCAAAGTAAATGTCAAATTTATCTATGTAGCACATTTAAACAACGCTGACAAAACAAGGTTTAAAGATAATCATAATAAATATCTTAAAGAGCACTAAAAAAAAACAAAAATTTGGGTATAATTTGTAGTGTCCCCATAGGGTTTTATTTTAACAATATTATAGTTGTGAAGTTTGTCAAAAATTTATTTATTTGAATATATTTTGTTTGGTCAACTGACAGCTGTAGCTCCTCCCCCTTTTTCTGTTGCCGTCGGTAACTGTGGGGCAGAAGCTTCTGGACATTTTCTTGTGCTTCTTGTGGATTTTTATGTTATAAATGCACACAGACCACTGAAGTGGACACTAATGCATCATAAAACACACTATTAACTACTGGCCATCAGCTGCTGATGCAAGAAATTATTTTTGTTAAATCCAATTAAAAAAAAGCACGCCAACCAACCCAGTCCCTCCTTCTACTGTAGACGACTTTAGCAGGTAAAAAAAATATATTGTGACATCAGATAACCCCTGAAGATGTATTTTTCAAATAACTTTGTATTTGGAGAAAATTACAATTGATCACCTAAAAAAAAGAAAAACTTTTCTTTTTACAAATGTTTTTTCCTACCGTTTTTTTATGCCTTAAGAAAATTTAAAAAATTGGAAAGAAAATCCTGACACAAAGGATCATAATTCATGCATGAAAGGGTTAACCACCAACTTGATTTCCTCTTTTTTTAGAATAAATGCAGTGGAACTGAATGTGCCTGTCGTGAAGTCGACCTAATGGGCCTGAGACGAACTTAAGACGGTTAAATTAGCACATTTGAAATAATAAGACAAAACTAACTTAGAAGTAACTTGTCAACAATATACAAGTTACAGAATTTTGTTTTTGTTGTTGTTTTACCCTGTCGGCCTTTATCTGACAGTGAGTCGACAGGAAACTGGGTTTCGACTTGTTAAAATGATAAAAACAACGTGTCTCTTTCACTACAATTCATAATTATGTAGTTAAAGTGGAACATCACAACAGATTTTTTTATTTTCTTTATCAGATTTTGTGTCTGTCACACAAAATCTAATAAAATTACTTAGATCTGTGGTTGTAGCATCACAAAATGTGAAAAAAGTTCGTTCACATTTTGTGAATACATTTACAGGGAATTAATTGTGTGGTGTGACTTGTGTGGGCGGCTCTGGAGGCAGGACTTGTCTCAGTTGTGAACGTGGGAAAAACACTTCACTTGCCTCGCCAAATGTCTTTTTTGAGCATAAGAAATGCACAATGTGCTAAATTTTAAGATTACACCACCGATTGACCCTCAATCTGAACTCAGTTTGCAGAAGAGAAACTGAGCCTAAAAGTGAAAGAGCTGAGTTAGGGAAAACAGAAAGTCTGCAGGGAAAAAGCACATCTGTTTGAGAAATATATGCCAAAAATGTGATATAAACACTCATCTTTAATCACAAACTTCATTTTGGTGTCTTTATGAGAGCAAACTGGGACCACAGCACAAACTTCAGCGAATAAAGCTAACTTTAATAAGTTGTAACTTTAAATAATTTTCACATTTTCTGCGATATTTCCTTAGTTTTTAGTTCAGTATCACTGAAAATGGTAAGTTTTTAATACATTCCAAGCATCAAAAAGGACCGTTCTTATTTCATTTAGAAATCGTCTTAAAAAGGGGCTCTTGGAAAGCAAAAAGAA